AAAAAAATAGAAAGGATCTTTATAAAAATAATTTTAGACCGGTGGTGCATATTTGTTTTCAACAACTGGAACTTATGGGCTATCCAGAAATGTAGAATGCTTATGTGCGTCTGATGCTAATCCTAAATATACTGAACTTCGCGATACAAATTTTGATTGGCAGGTATGTCATAATTACAGCGATGAACACCGACAAAATGTTGTCATAAAAAAAGTAAAAGTGAACTAGTTTTAATGAACCTTTTTTCCCATTGTACTTTGTTCTTTTATTAACCATTAAAAAAAATTATAAAAAAAATTTTTTTGTTTTTATTAATGCAGAAAGACGTTTTACATTTTAGTTAAAATTGATTCAAATAAACTTGACTACTGCGGGTATTGAGCATTCAAAAGCTGTGCAAAGTAACAAGTATTGGAAGGCAAAAAATTGAACAAATTTAGGTTCACTCGTATAAGGTGACTAAATGGTTAGCTCACAATGAAATGCTAACATTGAATGAAGAAACCGGGAAAGAAAGTTATGTACAAATATTCCATACACCTGGTCATACACCGGATTCGTTATCCCTTTGGTAACCATACCTTTCCAGACGACTTATGTTAACTTTATAGTAATCAACGATAACATCGTTTGGCTATGCTAAAATTAGCTATATATGGACCTTTCAGGTATCAAGACGGTAAACGGTTATTCGTCGGTGATCTTTTTTATCGTTTTGAAGATATTATGATGACGTAAGAACTCTCATAAAACTTCTATTGTAAAATATAAAAACAAAACTATAATAGGAACGACCTTTAAACTGTTTTTGGAGAAAAAACAGAGAAACAGTTTTTTGACGACTTTTCAAGGTTATCCTACAGTAGTAAATATTGGGTTGTTGCGTTCAAAATGTTCCTTTTACCATCAAATTCGTTACAACTGAGCACAAACTAAATTATATCACATAGGATATACACCAGCGACGAGAACAAATTCCGGAAGATATCGTTCCAAAGGTCATAAATATCCGGTTATATGAAACTTTTTTTCTGATTAATAGAAATCCTAAGAATATTCCCAACTGTTGCCCAGTTCAAAAAATTTTTCTCGCTCGAGCTTGACACAGATGGTATTCTGTAGAAATTAATGCGGAGGGTTGCAAAGAATAAGCAAGAACTTTGATGTCTAACTGCCCAAATATTGTGCAGGTCAGTAGCGCAGTGTGTGGCCAATCGTCGTTCTCGAGAAAGACTTTATTTTTCGACTCGCAGACGTAGAGTACGATTCTTCTAGTTTTTCCATCAGGGCTTCAATTTCATAACAATAGAAAGTGATGCAATGGATATGTCACTGTTTGCGTAGTTATAATTGCATAATTCTGCCATTACATCATCATACAAAAAGTATGACTTTTTCCAGATGCAAGTTTGGTTTCAGAAATATTTTTGGTGACACAGTTCAATCAGATCTTCTCCAGTGATCACGCACACACACACACTTCATACTCATTAAAAATCATTATACAATCAGTAAAGTTTATTTTTAACAAGAAACAAACAATTTTGCATACATTGCTTAGTTAATTGTCTTCTGGTCTTTTGCCAATTGAGTGGTATTCATTTGTTAGATCACTTTTTTCGCTAAATTTCTTATAGCTGTATCCTTTAACACTTCTAAGCCTAACTCTAATTAATCTGCGTTAGTTTTTATTCGTTTTTTATTGACTACTTAGAGAATCAGTCATCCACAACGAAGAAGATTTCTTTATTCCACAGTTCAACCTAATCATCTTTACCCCTGTAAGACAGTCAGTATAGGAACGTTTCCACGTAGTATAAAAAGGAGTCCTCCAGCTGATACCTGACAACACAATTTGACAAACGTTATGTGCAGTCATATCGTTTTTCTACTGGCGTACAGAGCAATTTTTTTTGATTTCAGATTGAAGGTTCCAATTAGAAAAAGTGTAAGATAGTTAAGGGGGAAGGGGCGAGACGAAAGTGTAAACTGTAGTTCTTTAAACTGTATCAGGTTTAAATTAGCTGACTGTTGTTCAACAAGTTATTGTCATTGAAAGTTACTTATGACAAAAGGTTAATTCTGAATGCAACAATTTAATATTAATCTTTCTGTGTATATTAACAGCTAAAAAAAGAAGAAGAAAAGTAAATAAAATACTGATGACAATTATGTTGCTGTAAGCTGTAGTCATATGTTTAACAAAAACGGATTAGATTTTTAGGTTTAGCATGAGTAGCCTAAAGCAGTTGGAAAATTCAGTACGATTTTTGGTATCGTTCGTAACCAATTATGAAAAGTCACATCAATGTACCGTATGTTTTTCTTAAATATTTTTCCTTTTTTTTTTCTTGTAAGGAGATTTTTAACTCCATATTATTCGTCTGCCTTGCCGTATTCAATTACTGAAACTTTATATATCACTCCGGTTATTGTATAAGTTATGAATTATGAAATTTGATATAGTATTTGGAAAGGTTGTATAAAGGAAAAGTTAAGCTACATATAGAACTATTTATTTCGCAATTAACCTTTAAATGTAATGACTGATGCAGTCATTGATTCTGCTCAGTTTTTAGTAGAATTTTACGCAACATGGCGAGTTTAAAGGAGACCGCTTATATTACACTCACAAAGTACATTTCTGTTGTAAAATGGTTGAGCGGGTAATGTAATGCATAAACTCATTGATACGGTTCTGAACAGTTGATTTTTTTTTTTTCTTTGAAATATATTAGCGTTTTTGCCAGTAAAAGTCAATTAAATTAATGATAATTTCGCCCAACTGATACTGATATAGGTACTTTTCTTTTGGTGGAAACAATTTGTCAATGCAAAATAGGTTTGTTTCATAAACAAAACTTGTTGAAGATCAGATACAGTAGTTCACGAAGTGAAGCAGATGGACAGTGTCTTCCAAACTTGAAGAACTATCATCGGTTTCTGTTATCTGTTGTAGCCGGTACACACTATAAACTACCGTTGGAAGTTCCAAGTTTACACTGTATCCGATATGAAACCAGAAATAAAGGTTCAATATTTAGCAACATCAACATCAACAAAAAAAAAAAAAA